TTTAGCTCAGTGGCACATCGCCTGCCTGGCAAGCACAAGGTCGTGAGTTCGATTCCCGGTACCAGAGAAAAACCAAAAAAAAAAAAAAAAAAAAATAGCAGTGCTGTTGTGTGGGATAGGCTGAGTCATTAAATTCTGATCACTTTCCTGCCTGGGATGTGATGCTTGGAGATAACTGAAATAGCGGGTGCTCTGCTGCACCCTGCAAGTTGCAGAGGGAGGTGGGTGGAAGGAGCCCGGTTAGCTCCCTGACCCAAGCTCTGCCAAGGCAGCCCGGAGCCGGAGGCCCTCCCCTCGCTCTTAGCAGATGGACAGAGGCTAAAGCTGTCTGCTGCGTTGCCAGCCTTGCTGTTAGAGAACAACCTGCAAGCCCTTCTAGCTTCCCACTGCCTTCTCTCAGCCACCTTGTCTGTGCTTCCTGGCTTCCTTCTGCTTTGCCTGCATGGCGGCAGCCGGACAGGACAGCTGACTGCGGGTGCACCTGCCACCTGTCCTGTCTGCAGTTGTCTTGATGTCATTGCTGAAGTTATGTCTGGGCCTGGCACTCTCCAGCTCACCGCTGCCTGCAATCCTTTCTCCCTTCTTACTCTGTCACTGTTGAGTTGAGGATAATTGGTTGGGTGCACCCTGGGAGGCTGAGGCAGGAGGATTGAACATTTGAGTCCAGCCTTGGCAACTTAATGACTTAGTGAGACCTTATTTTCAAAATTAAAAAAAAAAAAAATAAGACGGGATGAAGCTCAGTGAGAATGCCCTGGGTTCCATCCCCAGTACTTCCTCTCTCCTCCCCCAAAAGAGTAGTTCTCTCTTTAATGTTTCTTACTTTTATCTTACTAAAGTACTGGTAGTTTAATGGGAGGAGTGACTTTGTTGATAAGTGATTTAGAAGTCTTACAGCTCATTTTTAGAAACTCTCAGCCCTCATACCTATCACGCAGCATGAGTGGCGACCTTCCTTCTTTCCCTCAACCCTGTGTCCACCCGTTCACACAGCTCATTCTGTGCCCTGACAGGTACAGGACTGAGACGCCTCCCTCCCCCGGTGAGCAGAGAGGGCACTGGGGGTGTCATCTCCCATAGTGACCTGGTACTTGTTGACAGCTGTGAAGATGGAGGCAGGAGTGGGGATTGTAGAATTTGGAGACTCGGCCCCGAAGGCTGTGTGTCCCTTAGTACTGACCGTGCGCCTGGCGCTATGCCAACCCGTGTGAGCACAACAGCTGGCCTTTGTGTCACAGGTGCAGAAAGCCCCTCCCCTCAGTCACCTAGTCTGGCTGTAACCAGAATGTGGACCCCGTCCTTTCGGCACCCGCGTATTACCCATGAACACTGCTGGGAGGGCTCAGGTCAGGGACTTGGTGGCTGTGCGACGTGGCACAGACTAGCTTAGAGGTTCTGAGCCTTTGGACATCTGCTCTTTGGCACCATGACGAGTGAGACGTGCTTACAGCTTGCAAGCCTCTGGGGAGTCGTGAACCCTTTGGGAAGTTCACTGATTTGAGGCTCTGGACTGATCCACACACTGTATTTTGTTTTAGAGGACACATTGTAGCATTCGGTGGTTCCTAAGATCTTCCCTTGTACCTTCCAGGCGGCAGGGAAGCGGCAGCCATAGAAACTGATGTTGGAAGCACTTGCCTGTCAGAAGAGCCATTTATTCCTGCATTTAAGAATGGCTCACCTGAGTGGAGCGAGTTTTCTTTCATTTGACGTCATTTTTAGGAGGGAACATTTAAGGGAAGATTAGCTTCTTAAAGTCAGCTTCCTCTTTTTCTTTCTTCTTTTAAAGATTGGGATATGATTTCCAACATGTAGAAAATGACGCTTCTGACCCTAGTCCCTTCATTCTTTTGCTAGAGATAACCTCAGCTGAGCTTGGTGTTTTGCATCTCCATGGCGTTACTTCACGTGTATACACCAGTGAATATCAAGTAGTAATATTTTACATATTTTCACACTTCACATAACTTATTACTGTTCTTTTTTTTCCATTTAACATTGGGCTTTTGAGATGCATCATTGATATGACAGCTATATTTTGTTCCTTTTAACTGCCTTATATAGTTTATCCATTCCTCACGGTTTGCAGTTCAGCTTATTTCCCCATTGTTTTGCTATTATAAACTGTGTTGCATGGAGAGTTTTCGTGCGCATGCTGTGCACATCCACAAGGTTCTCAGGGGTTCTCGAAGGCTCTGGAGCTGCCAGGCACAGGCGAATGCAGGTTCCTGGACTGTTGCCTGTGTTGCTGCTTCCGACGTGGCTGCAGCAGTCAGTGAGATTGTTGCCTGTGTTCCACACTCTTGCCATCATTTGTTAGTATCGAACTTGCGTTATTTTTGCCCATCAGGTGGTTATGAATTCTAATTCTCAGAGGGCTCATAATAGAAAAATGTAATTAGAGTCCATTGGATGGCCCACGAATGAACAGTTTAACAAGACCATCATAGTGTGAATCCTGAGGACCATATCAGCCAAATACTATGAGAAAACTGTAGCTGAAAGGTGAGGGATATGTGTGTGTGTACGTGCGTGTGCGTGTTGGAGACCAGCTAAGGACCAAGCTCCAATCTTCTGCAGCAGGAAGTCAGTGTGATAAGTTCTAAAACTGAGCACAAGAAATACTGTATTAGTAAATACCAGGAACACAGGGCTGGAAGAACTGAGCGGGTGGCTGCTTCTGGGAGCAAGACTCAGGGCTGGGCAGGGTAGGGGCTTGGCTCTCGGCTGCCTTGTCATTCTGTTTGATCTTGTTTTCTCCCCATTGTGTGCATGTAGGAGCAATGGGGTCCTCCATCAGCGCAGCCCGAGGCACCCTGGGGGCCCCCAGCCAGCCTCCCCTCCAGGCCATGCTCAGCAGGAGAACGGGAAGCAGCGGATGCCCCACAGAGGAGCTTGGGGTGGCTGTCACCCCGCGCTGCCACCAGAACCCAAGAGCAGTGGCATCTCAGTGTCTCCGCGAGCTGCGTGGTCCCTGATGAGGTATTGGGCTGGCTTACTCAGCTGTGCATGTCCTCATATCCTCATTGCCTAGTGCTGCCTGTGGTCCCTGAGAACCAAGGCGCGAAGCCAGCATCCTCTGCTGCCGCTTGTTTTTCTTTCCTCCCTCCCTGCCTCCATACCGTGGGTGGGCTAAGGAAGGAGCAGCTTCTGGGAGTATGGACTTGGGGGGCAAGAGCAAAGAAAGGAAAAGGGCTGGGATGGTTGACGAGAGTGCGGGGAGAAAGGGCTTTGGCCGAGGGGGCACAGACTCAGATGCAGCGTGCAGTGGGGCGTGTTTCGGATGCGCGGCCAGCAGGACTTGCTGGTGGTTGGAGACTCAGGGCGGCGCTGAAGTTACACTGTGACTGTGGACCCGTGGAGGTGGGGCTTCGCCGAGTTTGCTTGGGGTTGGATCCCAGTTCCCAGCATAGCACCTGGCTAACAGCAGTTACTTAATTGTTTGTGAAGTGAGTAAAGTAATGGCTGGGTCATAGGAAAGAAAGTGTTAGAATTAAGCATAGGTAAAATATTTTCAGTTAATTTGGTAATGAAGTAACAGGGAGAAAAGATGTTAACTAGAGGAGGTTAGCTTTCTTATTTAAAATTGTATGGCTGTGTACGTGTGTGCACACGCAGGTGCACACATGTGCATGTGAAGATTAACTGAGAAGTGAAGCTGCTGGAACGGAGGGTAAGGTGAAATAAGAGGAAACACCAGCACCGTGGTATACTGTTACTCCCCGTTTAGTAACTGGCTCTCCAAAGACGAAACCTGCTTTAAGCATCTGCCAGTTTCATGTAAAAGCTCCAGTTGTGGCTGATGTCAAGCCCAGGTGTGACACTGACCGGGGGTAAGGGGGCTGGCACCTGCCTCTGTGTAGTGTCCAGGAGGCAGACACCGTAGACAGGAATAATGGCAGGTGAAGTAAACTAAGTTGGAGACGGTGAGCTTTGAGCACTTACTACATTTGCCTTCAATGCACTTTATGTTTAAGCTTATATCATTTAATTCTCAGTAATGGTCGGTTTTAGTAACTGGCTAGCAAAATTCGTGTGGGTTGAACAGTCAGCTGTTGTAAGCCACTGCTCGTCAGCTCCAGGGTGCAGGTCAGGAAGGCCCTTCAGGAGAGCGGAGGGAACTTGTGTGGTCGCCGTCTGCTGTGTTGTGCAGTGCAGCATCACAGTGCCTGCTGCGGGAGGGAAGGGAGCATCTCTTCCCTCAGCTGACTCAGGTATCCACACCCATCTGCTCCCCAGTTGGGTGTGGCACACTTTGTCCGCGCTCACCTGGGGGCATGCGGTGGGCCAGGGCTGCAGCCAGGCTGTGCAGCTCCACGCCTGTGCTCTGCCTGCACACCAAGCTCTGAAGTCCTAGTCACCGGGGGAGGACTTGGCGAGGAGGCAGGACACTTCTGTCATTGCCTGTGGAGCTGGCGTCCTCCCTTTGAGTCCTCCAGGAGTAGAAAGATTCCTGCAGTGATCTGTGTGATGACAAATGAGGCACCTCTCGACCTGCTTGGATGTTGGTGCCGCCACACCAAACTGGGGAGCAGATGGGTGTGGATACCTGAGTCAGCTGAGGAAAGTGTGAGAGTCAGAGAGTTGTGGCAGGGCCAGGTTCTCATTGAGATGGTTTGTCCGTGGCAAGGACCCTTTCTTCTCCTGGGGAAGAGAAGCTGTCATGCATTGACTATAGATCTGATTAGTATTCACATTGGCTTTGAAAACTGCACCTGTGCTTTTGTCATAAGACGATCAGGTAAAGAAAATACGAGTTCAACATGGCAGTGGCCGCCCACTTCTGAAGTGACTGTAGAGCGCTTGAATCCTGGCTCCAGCTCCTTCTCCTACTTGATCTGGACGAGTTGTTTTGATCTCTGAACCTAAGCGCAGCACACTCCTCCAGGCTGGCTGCGGGATTGAGAGCAGGTGCGCAGGCAGACCCACACACAGCGCCGTCCTGCTGTCAGTGTTCACTCGTGTTGTGGACACTGTCCACGAGCTGTGCAGACTGCGTGGGTAGGCGGTGGGCCTGCTAGTAGAGGGGAAGCGGGGAGTTGGCGCGATCTTTCTTGCGCGGCTCCACAAGGAGTTTTTGTAGTACGTGCATGGGTGTGAGGCTGACCAAAAAACTTAGGCTAAACAGTGTCTGGCAAAGTATTTCCAGAAATTAGCTAACACTGGGGAAAAGTCAAATCAGGGAAAACCCCACTGCAGGCCAGGTGCACTGTTTTCATGTATGACTGAGTGCTTGTCTTCTGGGGGAACGTGTAAGAAAACCTGGAACTGAGGGCACACAGCTTAGACGGAGATACTGTTTCCGTTGCTACAACCTTTTACTGAATTTCTCTATGTGAAATAGAAATGTTTTCTGTGTACATATCCCTTCCCCTGTCCTCTTCAAAATATCAAAATCATAAACACGTGGATGTTTTCTCTTTCCCACTAGAAAGCCCAGTGATTTCCAAGTGAAATCTTAACCTTTATTCCTCATGTATGTACCTGATATATATCAGCTATAAATAACAATGGCTATAGTAGGTGTTGAGGACAATACATTCTTGCATGTTCCCTGCTACCCTGCTACCCTGAAGCATCTATTCTAGGATCTGACAACTGAATGAGTTGGCAGTGTTTACTAAGCACCTTCTCTGTGTGCCAGGAGCAGTTTGTGATGCTAAGGCTGTGACAGAGAATAAACCCCTGTCGTCAGAACTTAGCTGAATGATGATCATGACAGTTTTACTTAAAAATGAGCTCATCTTCTGCCTTTCTGGGTCAGACAGTGGTCAGGTTTTCACTCCAGTAGATCTGGGAAGTTTTTCTTATAAACAGCTTGAACATAACGATGCAAATCAAGAAACTCAGGTTCAGCATGAGAGGACTTGGGCACTAAAATGCAACTGTAAGGTAATTCAATTCAGGGGACTTGGAAAGGCATAGAAATATTTTGACCTTTCCTGATGAAATGAGGAACTCATCCTTTAAGGGTCATTTTAATGCTTTATTTCTGCAGACCTTACATTGCACTCTTTCTCCCCAAGAACGAACACTGCACAAATTAAACTCCTGAGGTAGACTTTTGAACTTTTATGCCACACATATGAGTCTATGAGGAGGGCGAATGTGTTTGAGATCATTATTAACAGCCTCATAGCAGCTTTGAGAGTAACTCTGAGTGCGTGAAGATAGATTTTCAGTGACAGAAAAATTTGGCGTTAGAAGCCTCTGTTACCGATGAGTAACGATGGCGTCTCTTTCTCTCTGTCGCATATGCTGGCTGCGTTGACTGACCTCCAATGAGCCCATTTCATTCTCCTTCAGCTGCTACTTCACATAATGAAATGACTCTGCAAAAGAGGTATAGAGTTAAGGTATGGGTCTACACAAAAGTGTGTCCAGTAGTTAAAAGTGAAATTTGTGGGTTCATATTTATATAATAGCTTACTTTATAATCTCTTATTGAAAGTATAAACTTTAATGATGAATGTTTTGTCAAGAACACAACATACCAGAGAAACATGTTAACCAAAACCTCATTTTAAAGAAATTTTGCAAAACTTAAATTGCTGTTCATAGCTTCTTCCTCACTTTACCTCATTTAAAGGTGAGCTGGGCACATTTTGCACGTTTGGAGTTAGCTCTCTTCAGTGGTATAAATGCTTCTGTCTTTAAATGGCGGTGACGTGTGTTGGTGGTAGACAGAAGCAGCATGGCTTTGACTGTATCACGTGATGACACTGCCCAAAGCCAACCAGCGTAAGTCACAGTAATGGGTTACTTACTACCCACCAGAACCTGTTTATGTCTAGGCTGCTATTATATGGACACAGTATCAGAAATGATAGCCTTTTCTGCACTTTGTCCCAGTGCACGCCAGGAGTTTCCATAGTTGGTTGATCTCTCGAGCTGGTGCGCTGCTGTGGCTTGCGGAGGTTTTGCACTTGTCAGGATGCTGGGCAGCAGGCGGCTCAGTGAGTGCGACGGTGCTGCGGTTGGTGCAGGCGGTTGGTTGTCCGCTGTGGAGAAAGGTGCTTTGGTGGGAAGGAGGAGCAGGTGGTGTTGTTCCCTATAGAAAACTGATAGGAATGGTGAGAAATGTTTCAAAAAATAAAAAATTAACTAAATCATTACTTAAACATAAACTGGCAGTGTTAAGAGGCTTCTTAGTTATGAACTGTTTTGGGACAGTGTCGCTGTGTGTGTTTCATATTCTTCGATGTGCTGACTTTCTCAAGCTGGCTCCCCTAAGCTCCTTTAAAGTCATTTTCCTCAAATATGGAACTTACTACAGAAGTACTTCCTTTTGGATGCAGAATTTGAAAACAGGCTTTCCCTTCCTTTGCTGTGTCCTAATCATCAGCGAGTCATGTTCCTCCTGTGGAACCAGACCAGAGCGTGTGTGCGCTAAGGCTGTGCTGACCTTGATGCATTCATAGGAAAGCTTGCTGAATTCGGCTTTGGTTCTTGAACTGAGCTAAGCACAAGAATAGATCATTTTGGCTTCATTCAGAAGTTAGCACTAAAAGCTTCTCCCAAATAAATCACATGCTAAGGAAGCAAAATTCCTTTTAATTTATGGATAGCAGTTGGTAGAGTTTCTAACTGCTGACAGTCCCTGGTTGATTCTGCTTCATCTTGATTGGGTACCATTTCTTGGCAGTCCTTAAACCCCTGTGCATTCCAGTCAGTGGATGATGAGTTCTTTCCTTTCTCAGTGTAATGCAGTCAAACTCAGGCATCTGCTTCCAACTGGATGTACAGGGACATACATTGAAAGGGAAAACTATCAGGATGTAGGCATTTCTGGTTGGCGTGCAATTCTGTCACTGTTGGAGCAGCCCTTGGAAGACCCCAGGTCTCATGCTTCCCTGTCAGCTCCACAGCCCCCATCTGGGTACTCAGCTTCCGGCCCATGTGGTTAAGCGGGTGGCAGCTGTGACTTCAAGGCCCCCAAGCAGCTCTCCCTCTTGGACAACTCATCAAGAGCTCTGAGGGTG